ATAACATAAAAATTGCAAATTTAAAAATAATCAAAAAACATGAAAATTCTAAAAATATTCATATAATAATAAAATCTTCTAGTATTATTTCACTTTTATTATTTTACTTTTTATTTTTTACTTTTATATATATATTTCACTTTTATTATTTCACTTTTCACTTTTTATTTTATTATTTCACTTTTTTGATTTTTCACTTTATTTTTCACTTTTATATATATTATTTCACATTTTATTATTTTACTTTTTATTTTTCACTTTTATTATTTTACTTTTTTGAAATTTCACTTTTTACTTTTATATAAGTTATTTCACTTTTATATAAGTTATTTCACTTTTTATAATTAGTTATTTCATTTTTTATATATTTTTATTTCACTTTTTGTAATTTTAAAAAATGTATAAATAGAGGTGCTGTTTGAGTCTTAACTCAACATGTTGTAACTGAAAATAAAAATCTTTTTTAACAAAAATCTTCCTCCAAATACTTATCTCTTATATTTTTTATTTAAATCTTATATATAAATGGTCTTATATTATATTGAACCTATCAAATTGCTGACAGTTTTATATTATATTGTACTGAGCAAATTACTGTTATTGACTTTGAACTTTATATCATATTGTATAAATAAATAATTATTATTGAATTATTGAGCTTTATATCATATTGTACTAAACAAATTACTATATTAGAATTATTAAAATTAAATTATAAGTATTTTTACTTTTTGATATTTGAATTTTTAATTGTTAACAAATATTTCTCACTTATGAGAAAAACAAAGTGAAAAAGTCTTTGTTATTGTTATTACTAATTATATTACCTTAGTTCTAGAAAGTTTTATATAAGTATAGAATTATTCTTTTAAATTCTCTTTATTATTTTTTTATATCCTCACTTCTTTTTGATCTTTATTCTCTCATAATTCTTTTATATTATTATTCCTTTTCAAATAAATACAATTTTCATAAAAATTTGCATAGATCTTAGATATTCCTCTCTTTTCTTAATATTTTCTTTATTAGTTCATATCCTCTTCCAATTTAGATTCTTGTTTGTAAGTTAATTTAATGATTAGTAAACAAATTTATAGCAATAATTTCTTATTAATAATTTTTTTTATTTCAAAACTAATATTAAAAATTTCTTTATATTGCGACTGCTAAGAGAATGATATGTTCAAGATAAATTAATATACTGGATTTTGTTTTGTAATAATATATTAAAAGTAATAAAACTGATAATAATATAATAAATAATTGTATTGAATTCTCAATTAAGATAATTCTTTTGATCTTTTTATTTATTATTAAATACAAAAAATAAAATTTCTTTAAATAATTATTCTTTATATTTTGATAAATTTTCTAATCACTTTTAAAATTAATAATAGCTTTTGAGCTTGTAATATGATTATTAATATTAATAACTATCTTTAATCATACAATTAAATATTTAATAGCTAAGATAACAAGTTGAATTTCTGATACATATTTTTTATATTGAGCTCTATATATAAAATTAATTATAATAACAGTTTAAAAAGTTTTTTCTGACTTGAGATATCAATAACTTGATTATTTTGAATCAGAGTTTCAACAAATTTAATAATAATTTGATTATATTTACTGAACTATTCATGCAGGTTATATATTATAAAACTTTCTAAAAAGAATTTATTACTATGATAAATTAATAAATTTATAAAAATTTAATAAAAAGTTATAAATATTAGAGATTTAATATACAAAAATTCAGAATTCAGAATAATAAACTCACAAATATTATTAAATAATAATATATATTCTGTTTTTGTTATTGCAATAACTATATTAATATATTTTTATTGATTAAAAAATCTTGAATTCCACTATTCAATAAGAATTTCATTTTTCTTATATTGCTTTTCATATAAATTTTAGCTCATATTTATATTATTATAAATATTTTGCAATTACTTTTTTAATTCTTCTATTTTATTTTTTTGATCTTTTAAATACTACTGTATTTGCTTAATCTGATTATTAAGTTTTATTATTAGCTATAATTTCTGCTGATTTTCCAATTAAATGATTTTTAAAAGTTGTTTAGTATATTTAAGTTCAATTATTAAATCAGTATAATTAATAATTAAATTATCTTTATTTGTATCAATCTGGAATTTTTTATTTGTTCAAATAGAATCTACAAGATACTCATAAAACTGGTTAGTTGAAATAATTTGATTATAATGTATCTAACAAATTGAATAAGATTCCAAGATAAAAATTAGCAAGTTCAGATAAGTAATGGTAATAAAATACAAGTTGCTTAGCTGCTTTTGAAATACTTGTATATTATCATTTTTGTGATTTATTTGTTTTACAAGATCTTAATTCAATCTTCTTATAAGTATCAATTAAGCTTATAAATATGTATTTAAGATCTTTTACTCTTGGTTTTTGATAGTCAGATACTACAAAAAATAATTTTTTGTTAGCAAAATTAATTTTTCTAACTTAACATTATGAAAAAAAATTCATAATTTTCAGTTCTTATTTACTTTTTTAATAATAACTTACTGTAAGAAATTAATTGGGATTATTGAAATTAGATATTTTATATTGCTTATTAATATATTATTTAATATTACTTGAATATATAAAATATTAAATAGATAATATATTAATGATGATCAATAATTATTGATATGAATATTTATCAAAGATTATTGGAATCATTAATTACTATTGATATTTTAAAGAGATATTTATCAATTTTTACAGATATGGTGATGATTATTGATAAATATTATCCTCAAAAATTTTCTGATATGGTTCTGTAAAAAGATTTACCAAATCTGGTTGCTCACAATTTTTACAGGCTGCAATAAATGTAACACATATATTTTAAGTGGTAAATGTTCTAATATAATATCAATTCAAAAAATTTACAAGTAACAATAAAATTAATATAAGTGATAGAACAAGATGATTTGGTTAGACAAGTCTAAGTTTATGATATATGGATCAGACAATCATGAATATTATTGAAAACGCAAAAATAAACCACTAGATGATTGTCATGTAAAACCTACAGTCAAATTTGGTGACGGAGGTATTATGTTCTAGAGTTGTTTTCCTTCCTTCAGTACACATTTTTTGCATCATGAATAAGGAATTATACTGTGAAATTTTGAATGATTACTTGTCAGAGACTATCGAGCATACAAGTTTTCCAACAAGGTAATAATCTGAAACACAACTAATTTAATGAAGCAATGGTTTTGTGATAATGATATTGATATATTAGAATGACCTCCGAAAGCTCCTGACCACAACCCTATAGAACATCTTTGGAATAAGCTGGATATACATTTGAGAAGATTAGAAAATCCAGTTCATACTCAAGATGAGTTATGGTAAGCTATTCAAAAAATATGGATAGAAATGGATCATGACTTTTTAACTAATTAAAAGTATACCTAATGGATAAATGATGTAATTGAGGCTAAAGAATAGTTTATTTAAATTCTTAAATTTTTAGTCATTAGTTATTTAATATCAGTTTTAAATTATTTACATCATAAACAGCCAAAAAAAAGTATCATGTTTTGCAAGATTTGTGAGTTTTAGAAGTTTGTATCGGTATGTGACGTTATTGAATTTCTAACTTTATTTTTTGTCGCCTCAGAAAGTAACGCCCAATTTTTTTAAAATAAAGTTTGAGATATATATTCGTTTTATTTCATTTCTGCTTTATATACATAAAATTTTTTTTATCATTAACTAATACATTACTCACTCTATATGGCTTCAATATTATCTCGATTTCTTACAGCATCGAGCTCACAGCCTTCCCCCAAACTAGCACATTAAATTTTGACTACATTTCCTTCAGAGCAGTCTTGAGCTTGTTCCCAGTTTTTGAAAAGCTTTTAAACTTTAGAATATTGTTCTACAATGGTTTCTGGATGTTTTCTATGAAGCCAGGTCTGTGAGAATACGTTAATTGGTTCATAATCATTAATATTCTTCTCTTGAACCTATTTCGTGATCTTTTTAGATTAGGGTTAGGGTTAAGCTGAAAAGTCATATTTTCAGATTAATGATATAATATATTATAAAAAAGGATGAAACTACCTTAAAGAATCTTCGGGTAAACTTCTACAAAGATTTTTTGTTAACAATGTCACGAAATGGTTTAGGTTGTATTTTTTTGGCTTCTTGGAAATGTGCAATGTTTTCTTGCTTATTAAGAGCTTGTGATCTTCCAGACCTGTAAATTTTATTTTTTTCTATTTCTCTTGTATTCGGCAAGAGACCATTATCCTGTCATCTGGTCACGGCTCATTTTTCTTGCAACTCGCACGGCACTCAAAATCCCAATAAAATTTACCATTTTACTCTCGTCAAAGTCGGTCAACTGGAGGCGGTGTGTGTTATATTTACAGCCAACAAATTTCGTCCAGTGTATATTTAAAAGTCGAAGAAAGAAATAAAAAAAATTGCAGTCAACAATAACAAAACGCCGCGTTTGAATTTATGTTGATGTTGCACATCCAAATCGGGCGTTACTTTCCGAGGCGACTGTACATAACGATAACGATAAGAGCTTGATTTTAACATGCCACATGCATTACGTATATTCGATATGTACATAATTAGATTAGAAAACGGAACTGAAAGATGCACATCACTTCCAATATTCATGCATGCAAAATATAATTTCTATCTGGAAGAGAATCGAATTCCTACATATACATATGATACAGTATGATAATTACCTCCTTAATTATGCATAATCAGTCTATTTGTACGTTTTTATGTTGTTTTCAATTTCACAAAAGTAAATACGCATCATTCAAAGATACCTTTGTAATACATGTACGTAGTAATAATGCATGCATAATAAAATTCAATACGTGAAACAAATCGTGATAGAAAAAATTCTTATAAATAAAGAAACTTCATTAGCTGCTTTCTCAAAAAAATTTCAATAAACTAAAAATATAAAAATGAATTCTCAATGCAATCGCTTTCTCATATTTCTTATTGTAATTTGTTTACCCACGGTCTTTGGATTACCTATTGTCGACCTCAAAGCAACGATCGAATTACCTACTGAAGGCGCCAACACGGATGGTACTGTAACCGTAACTGGATGGAAGCGTACTTCATGATTTACCCATTCCCCTCCCTCCTGGTGTAACTGAACCTTTACCCTTGCCTTGTTCGTCCACTTGAAGGTAGAAACGGAGCTTTATATTAAATATTTTAAAATTAATACATGTGTTATAGTGAGACCTTTATCCTGGAGTACATTTAGTTATTAAGGACCGTGAATAATAGTAAAGATAATTTATACTTGCAAGATTTATGATGTATCCTTGATTAAATTTTCTTTTGGGTTATAATAAACTTATTTAAAATCTAACAAAAATATGCTTAGTTATTTATTAAAATAATTGATTTTATGGTTGAAAGTATGATAATAATAAACTTCGAACCTATTTAGCTGAAATTGTAACTGATGCAGAAGACACCTGGGTAAGAACAACTTTGCGTATTAAAAATTTTAATACTAAAAAAAGGACTAAGAGTCATAGCACCTGTTACTATGAATTTTATGACTCTGATTCAGATACATCTAGGTCATCCAGTTCTGATACTCTGTCCGATTCAGAATATGAACCCGATCCAGCAATAAAAGAATTATTATAGATGGAAGATTGTATCGATGCACGTAAAGCTCCAAAAGAAATGTAAAAGTCCAAAAGAATTGCTCTGCAGATTAATGGTACTTAACGATGACGAAATCTTTGTCACAACCATTTCGAAATGTCTGCGACGAATGACGAAATCCATGACGAATCCTATGATGAAACTTTTGATCAATAAAATATTATGTGTATAGCTCGTAGGTCACAATGATGACCATTTTGGAAATGAACGAATGTGCAAAATGCATATAATACATGTACATGTATTGATTTTCACGAAACCTTTCGTCATGGCCAAGAAATGTTAGTGGCGAATGACGAACCATCTAACGAATGACAATTTTGGCAACTAAACTATAAAAACAATAGGTCAAGCCAAGCTTGTAAAAATGTTAACACAAAATTTAGAATTATTAAAAAAATTTACAGCTAAATTTACAAGCCCAAAACCAAGCCTTAACCGCTGTCAACACTAACTGACAAGAAAGCCATTATCAATTTATTGGTTTATTTTTTGCATAATTTTTACCGGAGGTATATGAATTTAAAATTACACTAAAACCTCGTTATAGCGAAGACATCGGTAAGGGAAAAAATCTTCACTATAGCTTATATCGAGTTGATGTTTATTAATGATTCTAAAAAAATTCTTCACTATATCAAGAGTTCACTACGTATATCGAAAGTGAGTTGTATACATTTCTCTCAAGTTTTCATAGCATAATATTGATCGTCCATGGCCTTCAGCCAATCAAACACATGTACATGTACTAGATTTCTAAAATTTGGAATAGGATTTGTACATGTGATTTAAGCTATCATTTGATTGGTCGGAAGGCTTCGTCACAGGTTTCAATCGTCATGGGTTTCGTCCGACGAATGACATGACGAAACCTTTCGTCATTAGTGAAATATTTTCGTTAGGTATCATTACTGTTGGTTCAGTTCATACTACAAAGAAAAAAAGTAGCCCATCACACCCGAAAGCCTCGGAAAAGGACCCACAGTAAGGTCAAATTTAAATTGAAGTATTAATATACATAATTAACATGGCTAAGTCACGAAATAATAGATTTAAAACGGGTAAATTTACTGATAACACATCATGCGAACCGTGAGATCAATTTGGTAACAATGTTGATTATAAAAAGCACTATGTTTTAGTCTGTCGTTATAATATAAAGTATCTTGCATTAACAAATTGCATCACAACAGTCATATATTCCTTGCTCTACAAGATCAATCGTAAAATTACCCAAAAACTTAATACGCAAAAAATGTCTCAAACAGTTCAGATTATTTCGTGCTCGTCACGTTTATGCTAACCCAATCACTAGTATCATACTTAAATACTTGATGAGTAGAAAACCGTATTACTGCAGAATTATCTGCTATCAAAAGATCACGACGAAAATTGGACGCTAATACTGTTATCATTTTCAATAAAAATTTCGTAATTCAATAATTTTTATGATGTCATAAATTATGGTGTATCATAATTTCGCCCAATGATATTCATATTTATTTGATACTTTTTGATGTTATACATGTATACGTAAGCAAGTTTTGTACAATCATATTTTCATGAATATCACTTCTCTTTTGATTGATATGTACATGTATAACGATAACGAAAAAAATTTCCAGCTCAAGAGGGTCGTTATACGTGTCGAGGTTTGAATGTACATGTATATAAATCTGCAAAAAGCGAATTTTATTAATAGCGATACAGTAGTAACAAAAATTTCTTAATTCAAGGATTCTAAAAATAGTTGAAAAAAGAAAATCTTCAAAATAATCAAACACAAAAACCAGCAAATATTATTTACAATATTATATTACCTATTCTATCTTATTATTTAACTTCTATGTTGTTATTTACCTTTTCTATCTTAACTATCTTGGTATTTTATCTTTTTATCTTTTCTATTTTCTTTGAATTCTTATTCATATAGTTATTATATCAAAATTTGTATTTACAAAAATATATAAATAAAAGTAGTATCTGAGCTTTAGCTTTACATGTTGGAACTTAAAAACAATAAAAATCTTAATTTTTAATATTTAATATTTAACAAAATTAACTGCCTTTCTCTCTCAATTGTACATTTTAAAACTTGTAAAAAGTGAGCTTGAATCATATTGAACCTATTAAAATACTTTAATTTTGGAATTTTCAATTGAAGTAAGTATTTGTTATTGATTAGTTTTTTGATACTTGTTAAGATATAATATTTTTTTCTCATAAGAAAAACAAAGTAAAAGACTCTTTGTTATTTTACTATTACTAATTATATTCGATAGCTCTATAATATTTGATGCTAGTATAGTAGTCTTGAAATGTTAATTATTTTAGTATTTCTTTTTACATTTATAATATTTTTCTTTCTTATAACTTAACTTCATATACTTTCATCTTTTTTTCAAATTATAATAATTTTATTAAGACTTAGATACTTTTTGTTTAATTTTCTCTTCGAATTCATGTTTATATTTGCAAGCTAACTAGTGCTTCAATTGGACTAGATAAAATTTATAATTTAATCTGAACTGCACACTTTAAATCAGGTCAAGTTAATATAAATCTGACCTGAAACATTTTAGATAAACTAAAAATTATTATTTCTCATTCAATATTAATTCAAATTGAATAAAATTTGTAATATATATATAATTATATTTTAAACAATTTGATTTAAGATACAAATATAAGTATCTTAATAAAAATAAAAGTTATTTACAAAAACTATTTTATAATTTTTGAATCAAATTTAGCAGATCAGATTGATTTCAGATCTGCCCTGAATAGAGCTTTAAAGCTAATTCTCCAATTAGTAAGCAACTTGTAATAATATATATACAATATAAAAAAATTTAGTTAATATTCCAACAGAATTAGCAGATATATATAATATCATTGAATCAAAAAATATTATAAAACTAAAAAAATAGTGACAAAATAAGAAATAAGTTTCATAATAAAGATGTCTTGATAGCTGAAATTATAAAATTTTAAAGCTCTATAAGATATCACTTGCAACTTTTAAAATATTCTCAGATTTTTGCAATTTCTCTTCTAACTTATCAAGCAAGTATGCTGAAGAAAAGAGATCATATTTGTCTTTGATTTAACTATATACCTTTAAATAAATAAATAAAATTCATAGTTAACTTCTATTAAATCGTAAAAATATAGTTAGTTTAATGAGAGTTGATTGTAGTTGAGCATATGGAATCTTTGATATATATATATAAAAAAATAATCATGATATGTTTTATAAGTTCATAATCAATAAAATCTTATGTATAAACCAATAATGAATTTTTGTTGCTTTCTTGATCCTAGTGATAAATAAACATCATTACAAACTGCAGATTCAAATAGTAAATACTGTATCAAATTCAATATTTATGAAAGTGTGGTCCTTTTTGACATGATAGCACAAAATGGAAGTTAAATGTCTAATATATTTATTGTGGAGGATCATGATGAAAAACGGATTATGGTAAAAATTTGGCCAAAATTGTGCAATCATGGGGATTATTTAGCCAGAATTATCAATAATTTCTTATAATAAAAGGGCAATATTTTGAAAATAATGATAAATGCATAAAATATATAACTAAATTAATTTTGCAATAATACTTATAATGCTAAATACTATGTAAATTTATGAGTCTAATTGTTTATTATAATAGATATTGCAAATTTTCACCATAATCCATTTTCATTATGACCCCCACATTTATTGTTTAAATAAAGTCTTTTCATAAATCATTGAGATGTTATATATAATAATCAAACAAAACGAATAAAATTTTGATTTTGAGGATTTTCACCAGGCCGACCCATAATTAAAGCTTTTTTCGGGTCGGATTCGGATCGGGTTTGATTCGAAAATCGTAAAATAGTTTTTAGTTAATTACTTTTACTTTTACTAAGACACTTGTATTTGGTGTCTAAGTAGAGTTGTTTGGAATGTAATTGTGTATATACCCACAAATTTTCGTTTAATTCCAATTAATATTGAACGAGAAATAACGTTTTTTAGACTGATCCGAAATATTTCGGGTCGGATTTGACCACAATCCGACCCGACCCGAAATGTGCGTTCCAGGTCGGACCACAAATCGGACCCGACCCGGTTGGAGCACTACCCAAAATAAATTATAGGAAATTCATATGGAATTTAATTCGATAATTTGTAAAATACATGTATTTGCAAAATAAAGAATGAGCTATGTAAAAAAATCAAGATTAAAGACATTATGACATACAATTCAATAAGAACCTTCTATATTCTATTGGGGTATTCAATGTCACTGTTGAATAATAAATATCAGTGTTATTTAATTTTGGTGAGGTGGTAAAAGTCACTACAAAAATGACCTTAAATCTTAGAGACATAACGTTTTATAACAGAATTGGTAGTGATTATTCTATTTTGTAATGTATGTTTTCTGTTAAATAAATTAGCGTGTGGATAAGGCGAGAACATACGAAATTAGTGGATTTAATTGTTATCGTTATATGTACTGTATTTAAAAATCCAATATATATTGTTTATTATAAAATGACTTATTAAATAAGAAATTTAATTTTATGGATTTTTTATCCATTATGATTACACATACATTCGGATTTTTAATTAAAGGCCTGGATTTTGATGCTTTATATTCACATTATTACTTTACACTAAAATATTCAACAATCGAGCTAAATACATTAATATTCAGTTGTATAAATAAAAGAGAATATTTTCACATTTCATATCACTGAATGACTTTTTGCATATAGCATTCTAAATGGTAACATTACAATAACTAAAATTGTTTATTTACTTGCAGAGATAAATATATGGCTGCAAGCCAATTTTAGACACTGGACTGGTTACAACGACAAATTTTTCAATTTTTTGTCCTGATTTATTTCGATTCACTGAGCTCACAAAATTTTTATTATGCTAAAGTGAACCATAATCACATTTGGTAAGCCAAATTTGACTTATCCTAGATTCTAATATAGATAAATAGCTTCGCTTATAATCCGCTAGTTACCGTCTTTGCTTAAATTCGTAATACATGTATTCATCGATCAAAATTTCTGAATTTTTGAATTTTTCCAATTACAAAATAATCTATAATTGTGCAATTGTTATTTATCAACCACTAGTTTCTTTGAATTTATAAAGCGGTGGAGTAATTATATTCAATTATCTGCTAATCGAAACTTCTATTACAAATATCTTATGTAAAATACATGTTTCTTTTTAATCACACCATTTTGTACACATTCATGAAGTATGGATATTTAACAATGCCATGTAATTTGTTGAATTCATGATATAACTTCAAACAGCCTGTCGTAATTTCCTCATGAGAATAAATAAAAAACCTTAAATTAAGAATTATAAATAAATAATAATGCATTTAGTTATTTTGTTTCATATTACGTATACCTCATGATCGAATTTATGTTCCCCCTTTTAACTTTGATGTAAATAAAAAGTTAATAGACTTTAATTCGAATTATAAAGTTTTTATATTATAACTTTTTTTGCTGCTTTATTAATAATGATAACAATAACTTTTTAACTAATAAGTCGTTCGAATGTATAAGTTATTGCGAGAAATTTCAAAAACTAGCAACAAAAATGTAATAATGAGCCAGCATCTAAATGAACAGTAGCTGGCTGAGACACACAGTGGCTGGCCAAGTCGACCCAGCCGGTTTCTAATTTTAGGGTGATTCGAACACTAATTATATCGACTTTCACTGCGTAAGACCAAATTATATAAGTAACCTAAAAATCTCAAGCTAAACAATTTTGGAAAATACTATTAGCCAATGAAGAGAGAGAGAGATAAATGACTTTAATGACTCCAATAACAAATGACCAATGATGGTCTTTTTAAAAGGTCGAATGACCTAACTGACCATTCAAAAAGTCAAGTGACTCATCAGTGTTCAAAATCTGGTTATCAGTGTCCTCATGAGAACAGAGGTTCAAGTTTGTGCACTTTAAGAACTATATTCTCTATTTATTTGATTTTTGTGCACTACTATTCGATTCGTGAATATAAAAGCAATGAGACCCCAGTTTCCAACTGCAACTTATGACCGATGTATTTCAAGAGAACATTCTGTACCATCGTTATGGCAAGACACCAAGTCGAGCGTTGTAATGCGGGATTCTCGTTACCATAACGTCGATCCTGTACCCACATTTTCACAAATAACGATTTGCTAAATCAATAAATTAGTTCCATAAAAAGATGTTGAGCCAACTACCCGTACTTTCCAAAATAAATTATGATTACCAATGTCAAAATCCAAAAGTAAAGCGATTTTCAAAAATGTCGAACCACATTTACCGTTACTATTGCAGCACAGGCCATAAAACGAAGATCAAACAAAATTTGCCATGCTGAAAACACGAGCAATTCAACTTCCATGATATTCCTCATGACATCACTATCTTTGACGACTTCTTGAGACTTCCAAAATGAAGAAACTCAAATATCTACGATCGGTCAAGAAGAGTTTGAAATGGAATCCCAATTGGAAAAAGACCTACCCATGGCTTGATCTCAAATCTATGGCAGAAGACAACGCGATAATTTGCATTTGGTGTATCAAAGCTGAATGTGACAACATTTTCGTTGATGGCACACAATATTTTAAAGATCAATATCTCGTTTGATATATTAAACGTGCAGACACAAACCACAAATCAAACTCTAACATTCAATCAATTCAATCAGTAATTGCTAAACAACTTCGAGCTGAGAAATTGACAACCATGAGCATAATGATGAATGTTTCCTTATAAAGCATAATAATTTATTAACTACGCTGATTATGCAAATCAGTAGGTTTGCAACTTCAGAAAAAAGCACAACTATTTTAAATCACCCACCTTTGCTTTATCTACTGACTGAAAATACTATCAATCAAGCTGATTGTAGAACGTATATGAATGATCATGCTTCTCTTCGATTCATTGCATGAAGAGGTATATGTAATGAAGTTTGTTATTTAATGCATGGAGCTTGTTGATTGAAGAAATACTACTAAAAATTTTGATAATTGTATCATGTCATATAAACAAAAATGTTCTAGTTTTTCATTTTTTGGGAGCTATTGCCTTGCAGCATTAGCGAATGGAATTCTTGCAGACATTGACCAATTCCTATTGACAAAACATCTTCCATTTGATAAATTGTATCATTTTGACTGCGATGATGCCAGCATCAATTTGGGTGAGTATTTTAACTTAAATTATGCTTTATATGATATATAATTAATAATTTACTTTAAACCAAGAGCATTTTAATGGAATTGCCATTCAATTCATAGTACATCACCCATTTCTTTTGGATCACCATTGTATCAGTCACTGCTTGGCATTGGCTTCAAAAAATGTAGTTAAACAAATGAAATTGTTCAACAATTATGCCAATTATTTTGGAAAATTTTCTGTGCAGTTACAACAATTACATATATTTCAAGACCAAATTGACAATTCTGGTTGATAGCATCATAGCGGCGATTAACGCTAGTCATCATCAGCAGGACTTCTCTTAGATTCGGGAATAGGTGCTGCAGAAACCATGGACAATAAGAGGATAACAATAAAAATGCAAGAAAGCGAGTGTTGTATTGGAAATTCATTTCGAGATGTTTGGAAATTTTTGTCTTATTTTTTCTTATTTTCATCGAATTTAATAAGAGCTCTATTTATAAGTAAACGTTTGAACATATTGATATCAATCTAATACATGTACATGTATTTATGATATTTTTAACAAAAATAGGAGCACATAAAAGTGCATGGTACTACATTCTTCAATGATGCATGTAGTTATCCAGAAGCACAAAAAATTGGAGCACATATAAATGCATGGCACCACCACATTTTTCTAGTTATTCAGAAGCAACAATTGAATTTTTGTTAAACTATTTATTTCTACTTATAACATTATTACATGTAACTATTTGATTATAATGCAGTCAGCTCTCCTTAAATGCAATTCGCGTAGACCATGTGGGTCAAGTGCAATAAAAATGGTGTAAATAGTGTTATAAATTCTAATACAATTTACACCGTTTCTATTGCACTCAGCCCATATGACTAGTTAGACATGGACATGAACTTAGTCAGAGATTGCATTCATAAAGAGCATAAATTTAGAAAGTTATAAGCTTTTGTACATTTAGTGAGAGTGCATAGTGCAGTTGTTTTTTAGATAATACATGTATGTCGTTTACATGCACATTGTTTTCTAGTACGTATTATTATTAATGCCGAACTAATAAAATTATTATAATTACCGATAATTATAAAAATTTAATATTAATTTATGAAATGTGAAAAAGAATGTTGATATTACACAATTTTCAAATGTTTCGCTTAAAACCTTCGCAATCGGTGCTATGGTTGAATTCTGTCAAATCCTGCAAACAAGCTTCTTCTGATATTACATTTGTAAAACAGGAATGGATGTTGTAGTGGTAATGAGAAGACTATTGTGAGCAAGATACAAAAATAGAGTAAACGATATTTAATTTCTATTTAAATATTATAAATAAAGAGGTACATGTATATATTATTAGCGTTAGCATTACTGTGAACTTATCATTATGTGTAATATATTACATTCTATATCTCTTATTAATATACTTGTCATTTTTTATACATGTACTGCGATCTACGTACATGTACTGTTACCGAAATAACATTAAATTCTCTAACTCCGTAATTTTGATCCTCAAATTCTACATGAAAATCTTTCCATA